GAACTGTTCAAGGAGGACCAGTTCCGCATCACGCGCACGAAGCAGTTCAAGCTCCTCACGCGCGCGCCGCGCGCCGCGCCCGCCGGGCCCCGGTCGGTCGACGCGCGCGCGCCGCTCGGCGTCGTCGATTCCGCCGTGACCGTCGACGACTTCTCGCGCGCGCGCGACCTCCTGGGCCTCCTCGACGGCGGCGTCCGCGAGAGCATCGCGAAGCGCTACGCGCGCTCCCTCACGCTCAGCATCAACGACGACGCGGACCGCGCCGTGGAGGTCTACAACTTCTCGTTCTCGTACCCGTCGAGCGCCTCGATCACCGTCGCGGAGTCGCGCGCGCAGCACGTCGCCCTCGACAAGAAGCTCACGTTCTTCGCGACGGTCCTGCCCGAGACGACGTCCGCCGCCGCGTCCTTCACGCTCAAGATGGCCTTCAACTCGACCGCGCCCCGCGGCTTCGCGCCCGCGGGCTTCGCGCCGTGCGACCCCGCGGCCTACGCCTTCGACCCCGCGGCCGTCCCGAACTCCATCAAGCTCATCCTCGGCGCCGTCCAGGGCCCGCGCGCCTGCGAGCTCACGTACCGCGGCGTCCAGCCCCTCGCCATCGAGGAGGACTCCGTCGCCGAGTCCGCGCCGCCCGCGTCGGGCTGCTTCGACCTCAAGCTCTCGGACTCGCTCAAGGACGACGACGAGACGCAGCTCGACAGCGCCCGCATCAGCCCGCCCAAGAAGAAGCGCCGCCGCGGCCCGGAGGACCACCCGTCCTTCCTCTCGAGCGGGATCCCCGTCTGCAGCCAGGACAGCGTCGTCTCGTCGCGGTCCTACGGCGACGACGCCTACCTCTTCTGACGGCAGCCCCCCACAAGACCGTCCCCCCCCAAGCTTGCACACAGAAGGCGCCTTCGAACTAAGTCAGCCTCGCGGCTATTCTCTCGTGGAGCAGCGCCCACTCGGCCTGCTGCACGGCCCGGCAGTAGTCCGCGGCCGCGTCGTCGTCGGCCCCGGCGGCGGCCTCGCAGAGCGCCACGAACGCGAAGGGGTCCCAGGCGTCGCCGAGGCCGTCGAGGAACGCGCGCGCGAGCGGCGACGAGGCGGGCGTCGCGGCGGCCGCGTCGCGCACGTGCGGAAAGGCGCCGTGGTCTCCCAAGACCCCGAACCAGTAGCGGCTGTTGTCGAAGCCCGTCATCGACACCTCGCCGACGTGCGGGCCCTCGCGGCGGTGGAGCAGCGCGTGCAGGTAGGCGCCGTCGCTGCCCGCGTACGACTCGGGCGCGACCAGCGCGTGGCACTCGTCGAGCAGGCCGAGGCCGAGCCACACGCTCGCGAGGACCGCGCGCCGCGCCGCCCGCCCGTCCGCCGTCGCCGGCGCCGCGAAGAGCGAGTCGGAGGACCGCACGCCGGCGGCGCGCGGCGGCCGCGCGGCCTTGTGCGCGTCCGTCAGCGGGCTGCCGTAGGCCATCGGCAGCGGCGACGTCAGCGGCATGGGCCGCGGCACCGCCGCGAGCAGGTCGTGATACGTCGCCGTGAACATGGCGTCGGCGGCCGTGAGTGCGAGGAGCAGGGCTCGCATGGACCGCGGCGCGGCGTTGGGTGCACGCTGCTTTTGCAGCCTCAGCCTCGGCAGCTCAGCAGGTGGCCGCTTTTGCAGCCTCAGCACGTGGCTGGTTTCGCAGCCTCAGCAGGTGGCCGCTTTTGCAGCCTCTGCGCGACAAATAATGGAGCACACGGCCACGAACACGAGCAATTTTGCGTCTTACATCGATCGCAGGGGGCTGCTCTCAAGCAGCTTGCAGGGCAAGCGAAGGGCAAAAAAAAATCGTGGTAAATCGATGGCCAGCAGATAGCTCGCCTCTTTGCCACCACGATAGCTCGCCTCTTTGCCACCACGATAGCTCGCCTCTTTGCCACCACGATAGCTCGCCTCTTTGCCACCACGCCAGCTCCATAACTCGACCTTTGACGCCTAGAAGCCATGGTCAAGCGCGCGCGCGACGAGGACGAAGCGCTGGCCCGGTCGCGCGCCGCCGCGGCGGCGGCGGACCCGGAGCAGGAGATCTGCCTCGGCGGCAATGGCCCGCTCGTCTTCGACGTGCCCGGCTCCAAACCCTCCGATCTGATCCTCACCTACTTCGCCATCAAGGGCCTCGGCGAGGTGCCGCGGCTGCTCCTCGCCGAGGCGGACGTGGCCTACATCTCCGTCGCCGTGCAGGGCGGCGAGCCGCCGGACGTCGTCGGCGACTGGCGCGCGAAGAGCCCCAACGGCCTCCTGCCCATCGCGACAGGCCTCGGCGTCCCGCGGTCGTCCCCCATCTCGCAGTCGTCGTCCATCATCCGCTTCCTCGCGCGCCACTTCAAGCTCGACGGCGGCGACGACGAGGCGAGCAAGGTCCGCGCGGACGTGCTCTTCGAGACGGCCAAGGACCTCGGCGCGAAGGCGTCCGAGGTCGTCGAGGCCACGGGCGCCGGCGACGCGGAGACCGCCGCGGCCAAGGAGGCCGCGGTGGCCAAGGGGCCCTTCGCGCTGGCGCTGCGCCTCGAGGCCCTCGTCGCGCCCGACCCGCACCGGATCCACTGCTACCGCGACGACGAGACGCCCGTGACCTACGGCCACCTCCAGCTCTTCCGCGAACTCGCCAAGATCGAGGCCAAGGGCGGCGATCTGTCGCGCCTCAGCGCGACGCTCGCCGCCTTCAAGGAGCACGTCGCCAACCGGAAGCGCATCAGGGCCTACCTCGACTCAAACCTCTGCTTCCCGGACACGTTCGGCGAGATCGGCCAGGAGGGCGGCTACGCCTACGCCAGCGGCCCGAAGAAGCGCTCGGAGTTCGCCCTCTGAACTAAAGCTTAGTCGCCTTGGGCTTCTTCGCCTTCTTTTTGAAGAGGCCCGCGGCCTTCGGAGGCGCGGCCGGCTCCGCCGCGGGCTCTGCGGGCGCGGACTCCGATGCGGGCGGCGCGGGCGGCGGCGCGACGGGCTCCGCGGCAGGCGGCGCGACGGGCGCGACGGCGGGCGGCGCGGGCGGCGGCGCCGGCGCGGCGTCTTCCGGCGATGCGTCGTCGACGACGGTCGCGGCGTCGTCGTCGGCCGCGGGCTCGTCCGGCGCGGCGGCGGCGCCGGCCTTCTTGGCCTTGCGCGCCTCCTTGGCGGCCTTGGCGGCGGCCTTCTTCTCCTCCTTCGTGAGCTTCTTCGCGAAGAGGCCCTCGCCGGCCGCGACGGGCGGCGGCGCGCCCGCGCCGGCCTGCTTCGGCCGGGGCCGCGACGCCGGCGGCGGGCCGCCGACGGCGTGCTCGTCGTCGAGGAAGACGGCCGTGCCCGCGCTGCCGCCCCAGAGCATCTTGCCGTCGCAGAGCATGCCCTCGGACAGCGCGCCGCCGACGTGCGCCTTCCTCACCGCGCCGTCGACGCCGGGCAGGTCCTCGGCGCCCTCGAGCGCGACGACGAGGCGCTGGCCGACCTTGTCGGCCGTGACGTTGGGCGCGTTCGTCACGATGCTGTAGGACGTGGCGCCGTCGAAGACCTCGATGGCCTTGAGCTTGTCCTTGCCGGCGACGGCCTCGACGCTCTTCAGCTCGCAGACCTTGACCTGCTCGTGGACCATAACGGCTGGTTGCGGCCCGTACGATGGCAGCGCTGATGGAGAGTCGCCGGCGCTCGACGCGGCGCGGCTGAGATGGAGAGTCGCCGGCTCGACGCAGTGCGGCCGTGAGTCGCCGGCGCTTCACTTACCCTGCTCTATGACGCCAAGGTGCCGCCCCAGCGGCACTCAGCTGGGAAATCAATCAGTCCTTGGGCTGCCAGCTTACCGCTGCGCGCGGAGTGCTGCGTCGCGTGCTCTTCGACGCAGCAGTCCCGCGCGCGCCCATGGCGCCGCGGTGCGGCGCCTTCGCGGCGCTGCTCGCCGCGGCGGCGCTGGTCGCGCCGGCGTCCTGCGCGCCGCGCCTCGCCCTGGACCGGAGCGCCGGGCGGCCGGCCGCGGAGCGCACGGCGACCATCACCCTGGGCGACTACCGCGTCGAGGACTACGACGACGACGAGGAGTCCCTCGAGGGCGAGGGCCCGGCGACGACCATCGCGTACGAGGTCGCGAACGCCACCGTCGTCGACCCGGGCGCGCCCGCGTACGTCGGCGAGCGGACGTCCACCGCGGGCGCCTACACGCTCACGGCGGCGCTCGAGGACGTGAACGCCGTGCTCTCCGGCGGCGTCGGCGTCCAGCTGACCATGGGCGCGACGCCCGCGGCGACGGCGAGCCTCGACATCGTCGCCGCGGACGCCGACGGCCGCGAGACGCGGCGGTCGCTGTCGCTGTCGCTCGCCGTGGGCGCCATGGTCGTCCTCGCGGGCGCGACGCCGTCGTCGTCGGCGCTGCCCGGCGGCGGCGACGCGGCCCTCGACGCGCCGGGCCTCGGGGACGCGCTCGAGGCCGGCGACGCGTGGACGTGCGTCTTCGGCGTTTCCGTGACGCCGGTCCTCGCGGCGCCGCCGCGGTGCCGCGTGCCGCCGGCCGCCGCCGCGGGCGGCGAGGCCGTGTCCCTCGTCCTGCGGTCGCCGACGGGCGCCCTGTCCAACGCCGTGCCCTTCCGCTACCGCGACCCGCCGGCCGCGGCGTCGTTTTCACCGATCAGCGGCGCGACGACGGGCGGCACGCTCGTGACCGTCGCGCTCGCGGGCGCCCACGCCGCCGACGCCGCCGACGCCTGGACCTGCCTCTTCGTCGGCGACGCCCTCGAGGACGGCGCCGCGGCGACCGCGGCGACCGCGGACGTCGTCGACGGCCTCGTCGTCGCCGCGCGCTGCGCCGCTCCCGAAGCGGCGCGCGAGGGCGCCGCGTCCGTCGCGCTCGCGGCCAACGGCGCGGACTTTGGCGCCGCGGCGCCGGCGACGTTTTCCTACGCCGGGGCGCCGCCGACGCTCGAGGCGCTGTCGGCGTCCGTCGGCGACGTCGTCGTCGCCACTGGCGCGGGCTTCGCGAACGGGACCGCGCTCACGTGCCGCGCGGGCGCGTCCGCGTCCGTCGGCGTCTACGTGTCGCCCGGCGTCGTCCACTGCGCCGTGCCCGCGGAGATCTACGCCGGCGGGGCGTCGCTCGCCGTCGCGAACAACGGCGTCGACTTTTCGGACGCGCTGCCGCTGGTCTACGGCGCGCGCGTCGCGATCGCCGCCGCGGCGCCGCGGCGCGCGCCGAAGAGCGGCGGCACGGTCGTCGTCGTGGCGGGCACCTTCGCCGCGAACGCGACGCGCTGCGCCTTCGGCGCCGCGACCGTCGACGCCGACGTCGCCGGCGACGTCCTGACGTGCCGCGCGCCGCCCGCGGGCCCGCTCGACTTCGGCGCCGGCGTCGCGTCCGCGCCGCTCCGCGTCGTCGACGCGGCGACGGGCGCGTCGAGCGCGAGCGTCGCGTTCTACTACTACGACGACGGCGACCGGGCCGCCGCCGCCGCGCCGGCGGCGCTGCCGCTGGGGGCGGCGGCGACGGTGGCCGTCGCGTTCGACCCGCCGCTCGGCGCGGCGCTCTGCGCGGGGTCCTACTGCGTCCTCGGCGGCGCGGCGACGCCCCTGGCCTGCGACGACGTCGGCGGCCGCGCCGCGACCTGCGCCCTCGCGGCGCCGGAGGCCGCGGGCGCGGCGACGGTCCGCGTCGTCCACGACGCCGACGGCGTCGACCCGGGCGTCGCGGCGTTCGTCGTGGAGTGGTACGCGCCCGTCGCCCACCTGGAGATCCGCCCGGACCGCGGGCCCGCGTCCGGCGGGTCCGCGGTCGTCCTCAACGTCGCGGCGGCGGACCGCTGCCGCTTCGGCGACGCCGTGGTTTTTGCGTCCAACGGCACGTGCGCGGCGCCGCCGGCGGCGG